CTAGTTTCAGCTCTTTTAGCCTGCCAACATTTCAAAACTTGTCAGAACAACAGAATTGTTGTCCCCATTTTGAGTTTTTTTACTGAAGACTGGACCCGAGTTTATGACGTAGCTGATTTCAAAATTTCGGGTTTCAGTCGTCCACAACAAATTAACCAAACCCGTCCGATCCCAAAAAACCTACTCTGGAGAGCGGTTTCGGTGTGCGGATTCACTGTGTTCGTGTGCATAAAGCCGATTCGTACAAAAAAGTATGCGGTTACAAAAATATCCGGATTCTTGCAGACTGCGCCTTAGTTTGGACGGAAAAATGCATCGAAATGTTGCATTGTCTAACAAAACGCATTAGTGTGGCCGGGGCGTAGTTTTGTGATCGATCAATTGGTCATTTACATGATCCTTCAGGGTTTTGCTTTCATGAGGAAATTACTGGTTTTGTTATTTGAACCTCACTGGGATTACCAGATTTAAATACGAAAGAAAAAAACGAAATGAATTATAGTCTTAGTAGTAAAAAGACGTCATCATGCAAATAGCCTAATTGGCTTCAAGGCCTAGCTTAACCGCACCAGAAACCTGGGTCATGAAAGCAATTCAAGCATTTTTTTTTCCATCCATTTTTTAACGAGCCTTGGGAGATTTGTGCATGGTAGGCCAACACTTTCTTTTGAACTGAGTTTTTCTATTTTTCCATTTGAATTTTTTTAAAAAGCTGCATTTGTACTAATGAACTTTGTGCAATGAAAATGGTTTTTCGGGACCAAGCAATGTTTTCGGCGGGAGTTTTGTGAACCGCACGCCAGCTTTGTTTTTCGTTTTGAATTGTTCATTAGAGACGTGATACAAAAATGACATTTCCAATGCGGTAGAGATGAAAATAATAGCTATGCTGTACCCAATTTAAACCCTTTGGGAATATAACGTTTTGTTTCAGGAATTTCCGTATCATTTAAATGTGAATGCCACATTATAATGGAAATACAATACACAAAGAATCTTAACCCCGGGAGATTTGAATTGGGTACAACATTGAGTTAGCCAAATAGGTCTAAACCCATGCACAAAATATGCAGATGCCAAATCTATTGTTCACAAACGAGGCTATTGGTCGTCTTGCACAGGTCGTGCAGTAACGAAATGTACCAAAAAGCGTGATACACGTGCAGAATTGTTGCTGTTTTACTTGGTTTTCTTTTTTGCCTATGGAAACTATTCTCCTGACCGTTGTTGTTGTGGTTGTTTAAGCTTGCTTTCCAAGAAGTCGAACATAGCGGAATTCAAGTGCTTCCTGTACCTTTTTTCTTCGAGAACCGTACGCTACTTTGGAAGTTTCCGAAAGCTAGCGGCCGCATTTCCTTATCACAGCAGACAGTAAAGAGCAACAATGGGACGACTTGTTTGCGAAGATGACAACCGAAAACGGTAACAAAACAAGCAGCAAATGGCCCGCTGCGGTAGCCAATACGCTGGGTTAAACTTCTTCCAGCAAAACATTCGTTTGTTGAGTAAAGGTAAGATAAAAAAGGTGATTTATAATTGAATTCACCCTGAATAGTAAAAGCTTTTTGTAATTTTCTACATTATAAAACCTCATGGGGATCAATAGTCCACGTTCAATATATTCTAACATGAATCCTTGGCTTTCTATATTTGGTTTGTTTTTCTCTGTGCTCAAGTCTCTTCTGGGCATTGCGAGACAATGTAGTTAGAAATTTGCAATTTTGTCCCTAAAGCCTTGGGGTCAAGTTAGAATTTAAATATATTGAAGGTGGCTACTGTTGATAATCACTGTACGGCGGCCATGTTGGAATTTCTCTTGATTGGTGAATTTTAAATCCTGGAGATGAATATTAACAATTACATGTTTCAGTGAGACGAGACAGGGGTGGGCCACTTTTTCTGGGACATTTCTCCCTGGACCGAAACGTTTCCTTTATGTTTCGACCGAAATTTCTGGAAATAGAAATATAATTTTCCTCACACCTTACTTTTGTCGTCCAATATGACCGCCTTGTCATGTGTTTGAAAACCAGGAATACTGACAAGTGTCTCTTTGACTCGTTAAACCTTTCTTTTTCATAAAAAGGGTACAAGTACCTTGGAAGCTCGTTATCGTCTGTCAACGTTGGACTCATTCTCTTCATCTCTCTTTTTACGTCGAAACAAGGATTTGTGTTGACACCTGGAAACCGAACTCGGGACCTTTCGCACAGAAGACTGCACAGTAACCCGATGTGCCAATCCTTGCGCTACTTAAATTGTCATCATTTCCTATGCTCCCTGCTGTCACGTATGTTTACGTGATTGCCCTGTCGTCGTCATCATTATCACTATCTTTAGTTATTTCTCTCAGTATGCAGTCACTGTTATTGTTGTTGAGTTTATCCTCCTCTTTTTACCTTAGAAATCCAGCAGAACACCCACAGCCCGGAGGCCAGAATTGCCAATTACCGTGAAGTTCTGTATGAGCCTATTATGGCACCCTTTTGAGTCTGACAGAAACATGTATCACTAAGGCGACACCTATAACGGCAACCTAGTGGCGATCTGAACAGTGACAGGGAATTCAGTGGAGTGTATTCGAGGTAAGAACTGTTTTTTAATTTAGAGTGGTTCTTAAGGGTGAAGGTTGAGTACATGTGCGCGTTACCCATGGTAAATTGTTATCGCCAATTTCCTTACTGTAACCCTGGTAACGCCACAATACAAAATAATATACTATAAATGAGTTTCAATCTTTGACATTCCCCGTTCCTCTCTCTTGTCAGGAGCTTAAAAAGGCGACTGAAGTCTTAGGATTTTGTATAGTATTGGGAAAACAGAAATTTCAGAATGGACATTGAAGTGAACGTATTGGTGAGTAACTTTTACTCAAGATGAATAGATTGAGTAAACAAATAAATAAATAAATAAATAAATAATATTTTTAGAGAAACAGTCTAGAAAGGCGAGCTGTATTGCAAAAACTTTTTAGGAGTGATCTTTTTTTCATTCCAATCGCTAAAGTGCAGATTTAAATTTAGCAAAAACGTTTTCGCAACTTCGCTGCGTACTACGGCACAAGGCACAGAGGAGTTATTTGTGACCTTGATTGTTGATTGTAGTTAAATTTTACAGTTAATACCGCGCATCGCCTTTATTTTTATACTGTGGAATCGGACAAACCGTCATGCGATCTTCTTACAAACCTGGTAAAATATTATCCAGTGCTCCGGAAAACCGCTTAAGGTAATGACTGTGGAGGAATAACAGCAGCTAAGATATAATAAAGAGACAACTGGTCTCTTTTTCTTCTCGGCACTTGGTGCCTCGCTCGGAAAGCTTCGCTTTCCTCCACTCTTACAGTATTTACTCTTACAGTATATATAGCTCAAAATGCTGTAAGATCCCAAAAGGACTTTCCGCAGGCAGTTTGCCATTTTAATAGGCGCCCAAGGCTCTCTGGGGGACGTGAGATAGTTGCTCGCCCTGGTTGTGTGGACCATAGTTAGTAACTATCACTTGGAAGCAATTCTGGTGTTTTTTGTTAAAAAAAAACCCGCCAGTTTCCCGTCGTGAGATAGCTGAAACTATCGCTATTCATAACGTGCCAAATAATACTAAATAGTAGAACATGCTTAAACAGTAGGTTGATTACACTCTGAAAAGATAATGGGCTGGCAAACCGAGTTCAACTTTCAAAAGCCAAGTCTAAAAGCGGGTAAGGATTGTAAACGCTTGAAATCTGAAAACAGGTGTGGAAACGTTATGTTTTGATCTGAAACAGGGTCAGGATTTGTGGAAACGGGCGGTACACCTTACTCCCCCATCAAGAATTCCAAAAATTTATCTCCTCTTTCAAAGGGGTGTTCAAGAAACTGTGTCAAAAATCTTCTTCCAAAATAGTCCCAAAGAGAAATAGACACCGCGCTAGTCTCAGGCGGATCCTTAAATGGGTCAATGAAAATAGTCCCAAAGAGAAATAGACACCGCGCTAGTCTCAGGCGGATCCTTAAATGGGTCAATGAAAATAGTCCCAAAGAGAAATAGACACCGCGCTAGTCTCAGGCGGATCCTTAAATGGGTCAATGATTAAATTTTTACTCATGTTAAAGTTACCCACTTGATCACGCGTAGCGCTACGCACAGTTACTACTTTTAACTGAAACTTAGACAAACAAATTGAAATTAATATTAACGAATTGCTCACTTTTGTTTGTCTGTTTTCATTATGTTTGTCTGACCTTTGTCATTAAAACTAGAAAGCTCTTATAAGTTTGGGCCACCTGTGCACGAAACAGGATTTCCTCGCTAAAAGTTTTTCACGTCCTACTTCACCGACGGTCGAGTCTCCTTCAGGATTTAATTTTTATATCGTATTCGACGATTTGTTTCTGAATTGATTGAGTATGCTCATCACAACTCGTATGCATACAATGAAAGTTTACAACACCAGACCGGTTTGCCTCCCCATCGAAGTTTTGCTCATAAAGATCCTCCTTTTTTAAACGACGGAAGTATTTTCTCGTTTCGAAGTAATCAACGCTTTCGTGGACCGACCACTTCCGGAAAAGCTCGACATCTTTCTCATTAATTTTCCTTAAGCTTTCTTCACAAAAAAACATGGCCCTCTGAAAAATTTTTAGGTGTTGTCAGACACACGTAGCCTGCGTTGCAGTAGGCTATCACTTACGTCACGATGCTTATCCCCAGTTTCCACGGACTCCGCTAGGAACGCCTGGGACCATGACTTCCCTTTTGGTGCGCACACACGGAAACAAAAAGAAAGCCAGCTCGACTAATGACAAAAATGAGAAGTCAGACAAACTTAACAAATTAGTCATCATTTGTGAGTTGTGCTATTGCAGGTAACTCAGTTTTTTACCATGTCTTAGTTCCGTGCAAGTGTGTTGTTTTTCGAGAGACACTGGTACCACACAGGTGCAGAAGTAAAGTATATTTAATGAGGTATTTTAAATTAAGTGGTCGGTCTAATAACTCTGTTTTTATTCGCCGAGACCCTATTTTTCTGACATGATGGCATCCTTCCATTTGTTAATTTTTTCGTTAAGTTTTTCCTCGTCGGCCCCTCTGACGTCATCCACGACCTAAAATTAAAATTGTAAATGGAATTAGAATGGAGCATTCACAACAGTATCACAAAGTATCGCTACAAAATTAAGAAACTGGTATCAGATTTTCTTGCTGTGTACTCTGTTTGTTTGTTTGTTTGTTTGTTGTTATAATAAATGCAGCGACGTTTTTGTAATTTTTTTTCCAGTGGGCTGAGACTGCTATTGAAAGCCTAAATTTCCTTCCGTTAGCAGTCAACTTTTACATGATGTATAAAACTGTCATGCACGAAGCCTGATTTATAGCTTGCGCCAGACCACCTGATAATAAGTGCCTCCAATGAAAACAAGTGAAACATCATACATGCTTGTTGTGAATGCATGCATGGTTGACCTTGTCTCTATTTATTTGATAGCCTGATTGGTGTTGTTCCCTACACTTGTTAAAGAACCAATAACATTCTTCTGATTCCTGTGGTTTGGTCTTGTTCAGCATTAATACAAAGTCAACAACACAGATATATTATTATTACTTCCTCTAAGGGCTCCTTCCCCCGGGGGGGTGGGGGTAGGGGCATTTGCTTATGAGACCAATTTAGGTTTTTGGCAAACTACCCACCTACCCCTCCCTTAAGCCAACATTAACATTTACTTCTCATTTAGGGCAAAATGCCGGCTTAGGGGAGGGGTAGGTGGACAGTTTCCCAGAAACCTAAATTAATCTGACGGATATGTAACACTGTCTTCAGGGTCTTGAGTCTTGAGTCTCAGGGTGTACAATTTCACTATTCTGCGTCCAGAAAAAGGTGTCTTTTTGGATCAGAAGCCTCTGAAAGAGGGTGAAGGTTGGCTATAAAAGGTCTACATTGTGTGTTGCCAATTTGTTTTTGTTCTGAGAAAAAAATCTAATTCCATTACAATGTATGTCAGTTTTCGTAAATACTTAATTCTGCGATACTATGCGAAATGAATGAGGGTCTTGGGTAAGATCTCTGATCTTAAACAGGGAATCGAAATGACTATTTTTGTCTTAAAACGTTTCTCAAGTCCGCGTAGTACAGTAGCTCTTCCAGACCCCTATTTTCATCGGTCTAAATAAGCAGTAGCTTCTTTTGTTTTTAGGGCTAAGGGCATTGTTTGTGTTGAATCATCTATTGCTTCGCTCTCCAATCACAGACCATCTCTGGAGAGCGAGAGTCCACCCGGGTCTTTTCAAGGATATTTCTCAACACGCTGTAGGGGCCTTTGCCAGAATTAATTTTGCGCAGCGTACAGTCAGAGGTAGTAAGTTGAACGCCCTTATATGTGAATGTGATATTTCAGACAGCTGCATGGTTACATTGTTTTGATTTTACTGTCCTAGATTTACTGTACATGACAGAGATCTAATATTTACCTTTCTATTTTTGAAAAACTTGAAATGTGGGATGGAGGATATGGCGTATTGTTCTGCAAGGTCCTACAATAAATGCAAATGGTTGAGATTTAAGAACAACATCAACTAATTAGACAAAATTCTTCAAAAGTAAATCACTATCATCATGTCTGTTACCTTTTATGAGTTAATGTGGTTTTTATGCCATAACAGTTCACCCTTTTCATTCATTGCGCTGACCACCCCATTAAACACATGATAGAGGCTCCGCAATTCTGAGCTAGTGTAAAAAATCCTCCCGATCTTGTGTTCTAAGCACCATAAGATATGTGTAATGTCATGGATATTATCTGTGAAAATTATAATACAATTGCGTTTCCCCCTTACCTCCAAAACCCTTAGAAAGACTCAGCCACTCTAATGTCTCTGAGTCTTCCGGGGCTTTAGTTATCTGGGTTATTATAATACCTGGGATTCCACCGACAGATTAGAAAGAAAGCCATACAATAATCTCAGTCCCGCAGGCCAGAAAAAGGTTTGTAAAGAAACTGGTTTCCAGTCTCCTTGAAATGCCCAGAATGGCAGACTTGAGTTGTGGAATGGAATCCTGCCCACACAATTCACTACTAAATTTCTCTTTGTTGTAGGTCTTTAAAATTAGCTGATCTTTCGCCGTGCCCCAAATTTTAATCTTTAACAAATCTTGCAAGGAAATAATGCGAATGAAGTAATTAATTATTTATGATAAGCGACGCCATTGGGCTATGAAAGTTTATAATGAAAACAAAGGGATCAGATGGGTCATAATGTGCTGATGAAACTTACTTTCCTGCTTTCCAAGGGTCAAAATCTAAAATCCTACTCGCGATCTTCTGAAGAAGAATGTTCTGTCTGCAATCTAAGCGTAAGACGACGAAGACTGGACAAGAATATTGTCCGTTTGGACAAAAAGGGTTTTTTAAATATGTATCGAGTCATGTTTGAAAGAAATCTTCTGAAAATTTAGTAAAGTGACATCACATTTATTGCTCGACGTTGTGAAACCTAATTAAAAATGGCCACTCGAGAGAGTGGATGTGACATTGTTATCTAGATTGCCCGAGACTGGAGAATCGGGTTTTTCAAGACATGCATGCACGAGTTTCGAAATACCATGGCAGGCGTAACGGGAAAAAATGCTTTTTAACACTTACTCGAGCTCGGTTACAAAAGCCAATGGCAACCGTAGCTCTGAGAGCGTTTTCCGTTGGAAACTAAACCACAAAATAATACCAACAGGAAATCTTTTTATACGGTTTAATCTATACGCTCGGTTGCGAAAGCTACGAACCGTGTCCCTGATGTTTAAAACGTCGATGTTCAGCCGGTAACTGTATGAAATCTAGCCAAAATCTTCGAGAACAACTACATAAAATACACAACAACATCAAACAAACATTAAGACGCCCTAATGTGAGCTACCTCTGCATTTTATGGATATTTAGTCTTATTTTAAAGGCTTGTTAGATATTTATAATTACGTACCTTGGCCTTTTGAATGTTCACTTTGGCAAAAACTACATCCGGATACTCTGAGGCCATTTTCTGAAGAAAAATAAATCAATTAAATAACATAATGCCATACTTCCATTATTTTAAGTAATTACTACTACTACGTTAACGAAAGTAGCCTCACTAATAAATTTGCGGTGTTACCTATTGGTAGTAGCACACGGAAATTGCCAGAGTTATATTATATTGTTTATGTCAAAAAGCAGTTTCGGCCGATATAGGAATAAATCGAAGCAAAAAATCCCAGTATATGTAGCTCTACAAATTTCAGTTTTACAATTGTTTCTTTCCGTTATTTAATGGCAGTTCGATAAGTCAGACGAGACAGACCAAGAAAAAATGGAAAACATTGTTTGGATCGAAACATTTTTTTTTTAACAAAACCTAGGCGTTCAAGTAAGACGGTATTTTTGGTTAATTCGCAATAATTCTGGACACCATGAACTTTAGTGAAAATGGAATGGCAAGTCTCGCTCGGCTCGGACCGCAACGGCTGTCAAAGAGGGCCAACTGTGTGGTTAGACCACTTCTATGGTTATGTTCTACCCGGGCCGAAGTGTTCCATTTTTGTTTCGACCGTAATTCCCGGAAATTTTAGCACCATGGCGGAAATAAGACAAAATTAAAACCAATAACTAGTATTGAATAAAACGTAATTACGATCAACGACTTCCTGTTCCTTGACAAATTAAACACGCAACAGCTAGAGAGAGTGCTTGCTAAAGTATAGCGTCACTTTATTCAGGTTGAACTACTTGAACTTTAAGCTATGACAGAGATATTTCATGGCCACCGGCTTAAAGTCTAAGGGTCCTGGGCACTAAATAGAATATTTATCAGTGACATTTACCTCAAATTTTGGTCCCATTGTGCGACAAGGACCGCACCAATCGGCGAAGAAGTCAATCACCACTAGCTTGTCGCCACTGTTTTTCAACAAGTCGTTGAGATTTTTCTGCAAGAGTTTTAAGCCACAGTCAATTTTTTTTCTGGACGATGCCTTGCTATAAGGTACACCCAGTAGTTTATGTCTCGTATAAATTATATGGAGACAATAGTTTTTCTATAACAAACTCTATTTGGTTTTGTTAAACAGTTCAAATTGTGACCCTCCACAGAGGTCCGCTCCCAAAAGATCAAGGGTGAAATAAACCGTGCTATGACTCTTGCGCATCGCTGTCCTGGCTTCGCCTCTCACACTCGCAGCTTTGTCTAGAACCACCGGGAATCAGCAGAAAAAAAGAAAACTCTGATACCCAAGGTACACGAAGCTATTTTTGTCAACTGAATATTTCATTGTAAGAGTGACCGTTTCACTCACTCTTGCCTTCGATCCCATATAGACTTGTAGCTGGTGTTCACTCGACCAGGCTAAAAATTATATATCGTCCATTGCATGTATCAGCCCAAAGCCCTGTAGGCCTGGGCCTACAAATTTTTAATTGATTACTCTACTACTTGTAATAAATTATGCGTTGCTGAGCTCAAAGTGTTGGTGAGGTCAGTATGCGTGCAATTTTAGGATATGCGGAAATGAAAGTCAGCCAGGCCTTCAACTAGTCAAAAAGCTGGCTACGCCTCTGTGAGTCTGTGTATTGACGAAAAATGTTGACCACCATACTATATGTGTACATGATTTACATTGTGAGCGGAATTTATTTTATTTGTGCCTTTCCCAAAAGTTTCATTTACCTTGCTTCTGATCCAATGTTCCGTAAATGTCTTAAAATGTCGGCAGGTCAAAACCATTTAAATTAAAACGTTTACACATTTCCATGACATTTACAATAAGCTCCTCTGTGTACGTCATGGTTTCAGTTATGATTTTGGATTTTGGATTTAACGACAAGCTGATATTGAGCCAAAATGAGTGACAAAACTGTTTAGCTTTGTCATTTCCGTGAAAAGGTTGTTTCTAAGTGTGCTACGTCACTTAATCGCTCATAGAACCATGACACAGCTTTAATGCATATTGGCCCAGCTCATTAAAAAAATATAGAAAACGAAAACAAGCCAAGCGGCAAATTCATAAAATTTCTAGTCCACTGCGTCAGAAAACAGCTTGTGTTTTATATCCTATTTTATCCTTAAATTACTTAGGTCAGTTGCTTTCATCGATCCCCATCAAATGTCGCTTAAAACTAGTAATTTTTTGTCCACCAATGGCCCTAGTTTGATGTGTGATGTCCATGCTAACATTTTATTATTTTGAAAACAAGTTTTAAAGTCACTTATCAAATTAATTGTCGTTAAACTGGGACAGCTTAGGTTTGTAAATTCAAGTAAAAATATCCGAAGCTATGGAAAACTATGAAAAATGCCATTCGTGCACGACTTGGCGAACCTTATTTGCTTACTGCTTATCAGAATATGCGCTTGGCAAAAGATATTAAAACAACGCAGGCAAGTCAAAATATAACCCTGTGACAGCAAGGTTTTTCTCAGCGCAATGCAAAGAAAAACCAGCCTGATGTAAATAATTCCGTTCAAATACATACCACACTTTTTAGTTCCTTCATATCGGCTTCCCAACGCTATCGGCTTTCCAACGTTAGATCATAAAACATCAGGTGTTATGAATGTATTTACGATGTCCAGCACTTTAAATAAGAAAGGGAAATTAAAGGCTATTACTTAACAGCGTGATATTTGCCTTTTGTTTTTATAAGAACAAAACAAAGTTTACATTTGCAGCATCACGTCCTGTTTTTGCATTATTTTTCCGCGATGTACAAATTTCGAAAAAAAACCAAACGTTTAGAAACATATTTTGTGTCTAATTTTAGACGCCAACGACCCATAAAAAACATTAAAGGAAACTGGAGATTTTTAAGGTTACCCAAGCACAGAAGACTCGCGCCTTTCTTTGTTATTTTCATCTAAATTCATGGCAAATTAACATGACGTATGATGACGGAAATATCAATGACGACTTCCGTGGGAGCTTTAGCAACGACGACGGCGACGGGAACGAGGACGTCAAAAAAGCAATAGATTTATTACGCAAAACAACAACCTTGCACGTGCATCACGCTTTTTAGTACATTTCTTTACCGTCCTTGCACGGCTACGACGTGAAAATGCCTAATTGCAAGTATTATGGAGGACGTAAACAACCGACGAAGAATTTCTTTTTCTCTCTCTCTAAACCTGAGTGCGCTCCTCAAGAAATCAACTCCAGGGAAGTTCGCCTACATTTGCCATTTTCAGGAAATTGGAATAAACGCGACAAAGTTTAAAAAACGGGAATTCATTTTAAAAATGACGTTTTCGCTGCCGTTGCCGTCGCCGATTCTAACGCTCCCTAATACTTCACAAGCGGTCGTTAAAAGGGACCCTCGCTGGGGTGTAAGCTTTGTATGAGGTCGGCGATTTCACTATGGATTTCACTGTTATAGGAAAGTCTTAGGAGAAGACTAAAGCTGCTTTTGACAAAAACTACTGACTTCATGTATTGGTTCTCACGGTGTCTGAGTCCCTTCGCACATGTTCATGACAGTTTTGCCCCATGTACTCTAACCTACCTCCAGATGTCCGTTCTCGAAAGACCTGGGATGAAAAAAAACAGATTATCAACTGTCCACCTACCCTCCCCTAAGGCAACATTTTGCCCTAAGTGAGAAGTAAGTGTTAATGTTGGCTTAAGGGAGGGGTAGGTGGGTAGTTTCCCAGAAACGTAGAATCCCCGAATAAACCGTACCCAAGGATTTGATAAAAACCTCTGGCACCCTGGTAGTCTACTACACAGCCGTTTGTTGTGTCACGCAACGCTCCTCCTCCTGGGGTGCTGGGAGCGTGACGACACTAAAAGCGGCTGTGCAGCAGACTAGCACCTGGGGTAACTGTACTCTAACGTAAGCAAAATTATCTTGTGGTGCATGTGGGCTAAATCTTGACAATGGATAACGAAATTGTGATTTTAACACAGTCTTCTTATTATACATTTGCCAATGAGCTCCAATGGTTACTTTTTGCTTTCAAACCTTTATATTCCTTTGTTTTCAACGCGTTCTTCTAGACCGTGACCGTCGTATGGTTTAAAGCCTCAGCAAATCGATCCCAACGTTGCTGACCCAACCATGTTGGGAGTTGTTGCGTCCGTTTGCCCGTAGCTACAGGTTTGACCAGTTTCAAAACTTTGCGCAACAACTCCCAACAACACGCAACAACATGCAACAACGTCTGCAGACGGACGCAACATGTAACATCCAACAAAGTTGGGAGTTGTTGGCCAACAATATTGCGTAAATAAGCCCCTCCATGTATAAGCCCCTCCAATTATAAGCCCCCCCAAACCGTTAACGCAAAAAACTCCCCGTTAAATCGCCCCTCCAAATATATTAGCTCCCCGGGAGCTTGTACTTGGAAAATTGCCCTGAAATGCAAAGTAAAACAAAGCAAAAACGGTAAATGCACTTCCAACCATAAGGCTAGCTCAATAGATTTTGAAACGCAAATTTCCCTCCGTAGATAAGCCCCTCAAAAAGGGCCTTTGAAAAATATAAGCCCCGGGGCTTATTTTGGGAATTTTACGGTAGTGTAACTGTATTTATAGCCTCCCACGCAAATGTTTTTAGGGGAGCTCGTTTTTCACCCCTCCCCACAAACGCCTGCTCAGCCGAAGACAACATTTCTTTCCCATTGTTTTATTTGCGTGGTAAGTGACCAATAAACAGTTGTGCAATAAAGTGTTGACAGGCTAAACGCGACTAAAACGTGACCCTACAGTTACCGTTTTCCTTCTTTTCTTTCCTTCGTTAAGGTTATGAAGTGCATGGAGTATTCTAAAATTTGATTAAATCTTATTTTTGCCGCTCTGAATCTAACATTTATTGGAGGTTAGAGAGTATTTCCAGTGTTTCATGCAGATCGAATCATTATCACATTACCTTGCGGTCAAGGTCAACTTTCCAGAATTTGGAAAGTACAATGTGATTGGCTAAGCATGGGAAAGGAATGTTGTCTTCGGTTGAGCAGGCGTTTGTGGGGAGGGATGAAAAACGAGCTCCCCTAAAAACGCCTGCGTGGGAGGCTACTGTATTTATGACAAGCTTACGACAATCACATGATTATCCGGTAACGTTAACCGGCTTCTAACAAGTGTTTGAGCCAGTTAGAATTTCAGTCTATATTTAGAGTTCTTAAGCCGCGAATTTCCCTGTGTTCACAAGCGTCCGCACAATCCAATATGGCAGTTGATCTTGAACATGGACAACCGTTGGTCCACGACGCTTCAAAGGGTCTTCAACGAGTTAAATAGTTTCACTCGACAAGCCACTGATGAAATAGGCTGCTTTGATTTGTATATAAATTCGTGGGGGAGGAGGTGGGTCGAAAGATAAATCATATAAAAGAACTTTGACAATTTCTCTCTATTCTAATCTGTCGTTGAAAATCACATAATGAACTGATTCATCGATCAGAATGATTCCTTAGTCGTTTGTTTTTGGAATAGAGATTGCGTGAAAGAATATATCAGAATAGTGATAGTATTAATCGCTGTGAACCTCGGAGAAATGTTGCTAAATTATAATAAGAGTACTTCTTTCCCTGTAATTTGTTTAAGTTATTGAAAGAATAGGATTTTTTTCTCTACCTTGATTTGCATAAAGCTTCTTTTCCTTTAACATGCAAATTAGCTTTCTTCCAATTTTTTATCTTTTTCGGAATTGTCGTGGTTTTGAGGTTTTGAGCTATTTCTACTGCCTATCATGCTCTTTTGAAATCATTTTAATCTGCAAGTATAGCGAAATGATGCGTACGTGTGTTTTGCTTGGTTTTTTGAAATATCCGCCTTGTGTTTTCTTAGCAACGCAGCAAAACAATGGCGTCGAACTGCACGAGCGAGTGGCTAAATCCGTTAAGAATTTATTTACTGGTAGGCGCATCTACGTCATCAATGATGTAATGGTAAGGTGCCTGTGTATCGAGAGTAATTTTAGCAATTGCTTAATTTGTTTTCGTATACCTACGCTTTGCAATCGGCTCAGCCTTAGTTTCAAGTCCGGATCCATTTTTCTCGAGATTGACAAGGGAATGAACTAAGAGATTGTTCAATTTTTCTTTTGACTGAAGCCAGATGATAAAATATTTATTACTAAAAAGCCTTTGTCTAGTGATTGGTCTCTTAGGTTGACTGGATTACCTGCTAGTGTCTTTGACACAAGGAGAACATCGACGCCTAAAATTAAACCTCCCATTTGTCAATGACATGCTTGGTTAAATTAGCCATGTCGAAGCCTTCCCAGTCAATCTTCCTGCACCGAACAGCAGCTTACAGGGGCACCCAACGAGAATATAGTTCAAAACCACTTAAACATAGCATTGTTAAACGTATTTTAGTATTTCTACGGTAGATATAGGCATATTTTCATCCTCTAAAAATTTTTCATCTGTTCGGATTTCCTAGCTGAAAGTCTCAAGATCCGAAAATCATAGGGATCAAAACTTACCTTTTCGAAAATTTCAGCAAGAAAAAAGGCTCCCGAAAATTCTAGGTGACCTTTTTAGGGTAAAAATCCGTTAAAAATGGGCAATTATACCAATTTTTAGATGTTCGAAAATCCTAGGAGAGGTAGGCGAGCAAGAAATTTTTATAAAAAATGTTCCGCAAATTCTAGATCTCAAATCGCCTTTCGAACAGATATTTTCCGAAAATTGACGTTGGGTGCCCCTGTTATAAGTTGTTCAAAAATCTCGAACTTTATATTTTGAACAGTCTATGAATGCGTATACAATAAAAACACATAACATTATAAGAATAAGTATGCAAGAGTTAACCATTGGGAAGCAATCGCCGAAATGTTTTTCAAATGGACATGGCTGAGATGAAAAAATGCAAGCGTAAACATCAGAGCACCGTATGGCTGCCTTTTCGCCACCCTTGTCGTTCTTGTCGTTGTCGACTCGGTGTTCGTGATAATTAGCCTGAATTAATCACCACGAGGTTTTGAGATGATCGAGGCGATTATGTGAAGAGAATTAATAGTGTGAAAACAGGTTTTGCCTTCACAAAGGGGTAAACTGACGGACGGGGAAAAACTCTAGAACTCTCTGGGAAAGGCCTTTTCCTGGGGACACTCGCTGGCTGCGGGAAGGTACGGAATCTCTTACGCCTGCTGAATACCCTTGAGACAATGATCACAACAGAGCTTGGGTCCAACGTAGAAGTTTAATCCAAGACTATATTGCGGGTAGAGTCACAAACATGACCAAAGAAAATCTTACAAAACGTCGGTGTAAATACTCTAAGTTGATGACGCGATACAGATTAGGTCATGTACTAGCGAGGTAAATTACAGAACACAACAATCATTTCTAAAAGACTATTGGTGGAAACCTAAGCTTGTTTTCAAACATTAATTACTTCAAAAGCTACACAGGTGGATAACGGCTTTTTACAGGTTGATTACAGTTTGAAGACTAAATACAATTATGACTTGACAAATAAGTTTACGCTCAATAAATCAGCAGGTTGTTTACGGCTTAAAGAAGTTAAGACTAAAGAATAAATGATTTCTACATTGGCTTTTCATATTTTTATCAGCGAAAGCAAAATAACTGAATAACAATAAATTATCTCTTCACAATTAACTGGAAACCCAAGATCGACCTGAACCGGTCGCTTCAAAATTTTTGAGACGACTGAGGCGATAGAGACGATTCGGAAGATCAAATAGGAATCCGGCTTTATATTTTAATTACGAACTATTCTTTTCTTGGAGGAGGAAATTGGACTAAGCTCTCTCAACTGCTTGGTTCAGTCTGTTTTTATTTTAAAAAACTAAAACTTCTAAAATGAGAAATTAATTGTTGCAACCATGCATTGTAGAGCTTCACCCAGTGATCTTGGAATCAAGTCAGTGCTATCACCACGTGAGTCTCCATAGTAAATAAATTATAATGATCGGGTCAAAAAACAAACACCGTTTTAGTTGGTCACTGCTCTTTAAAAACAAACAAAAGCAGTGTCCGGCAAAGGTTCGTCAGTTGGCTTTTCTTATTAGGCTTTAAGTCTTACAGTCAAACCAGGTCAAGCGTTCCCGTCGCTAACAAACTAATGAATTCATTAATGGAAAAATGATTTCGTTTGTTGATTCAATAATCCATTCATAAAATGAATAATCCAACAGTCAAATTGGACCTCGATTTCATAATTAAATGTTGATTTGCATGGTTTATGAACAAAATCTACCTGTATTTGCTTCCCTTTTCCTACCGTATACGATTGGGTTTTTCATCGCCTTTAATCAAAATAACAGCTAGAATAGACAGATGATTACTGATGCACTGATTACTGGCGGCAAAATGGCGTACAGTTTGTTTGAATTTGAACTTCAGAACTCGCCCGCACTCGACCCTTAACTATAGAAAAAAAGAAGAAAAAACAAAATTCTTTGGTCGACTTGCGGAAAGTGTACAGTTTTTCAAAAAACGGTAATCGAATTAACATTGGATTATGGAATCGAGGGTAAATATGAATATTTAATTGTTCATTTTATGAATGGATTATTGAATCAAGGAACGAAATCATTCTTCCGTTACTGAATTCATTGGTGCGTTAGCGACTGGAACGCTTGACCTGGTTTGAGACCGGGTGGCTTTGGGATTTTCCTGAGACCCGGCTAACTCTTGGGCGATGCTCTGAAAGTCTTGTGCACTCATACTGCTTTTAAATTTGTGGTGTCAAAATTAACGCTTTTGTTTTTTTATCTAGCTAGGTCAGTCGTTCTCGAAAATAACGTACTTGCATTGTATTGAATTGACTCTTATTTACCAGTCCACGGGGACCCATATCAGCTGCACCCTGTAACAGGGGCGGATCTAGGGGGAGGGTGCAGGGGGTGCGCACCCCCCCCTCTCTCTTGAGATGACCTGCGGTTTTCTAATACAACTGGTATTCTGCAAAAAAAAAAAACTATGTGGTTTATTGGTGTTGAAGTAGAGCAAGAGACGAGTGCACCCCCTCCTAGAAAAAATCCTGGATCCGCCCATGCTGTAACACCTAAGAAATGTACGATTTCGTCATCTCTTGGAGAAAATTTGTGACCATTTATTGACTAAATACCAATATTTCTGCAATAATACAATGTTATACTTTGCTGTTTTTGCCATTTTTTCAAGATAACTATTTTACGTATCACATACCAGAAGGCTGGACCGGTGTTTCCTTTGATGATGGTCCTCTTGATCCCTATTCTGCGAGAACTAATTAAGAACTTCGTAAGAGGTTGGCTAATTTTTCACAGTAGAATCAATCAAACGTGTTATTGCCAAATAAGAATTTTAATAGGCCAGTTTACAGTTGTGTGCTTAGTTGACCTTGTTTTGATAAAAACCTCGATCCTTTTCTAATGTAAATTTTGCTGAAAAAATACTAGTTAGCATAAGAAAGACATGATTTACATAATAAAGCAGGAAGGGCTGTATCAAAACAAGGTCAACTCCAGCCTCGTTTTCACCGGCAACTGTAAAATGAGCTATTTTGGATATCGTTGTTCTCATTGTTTTAGAACACAATAGCATGCAGGTAATCTAGTCAACCTAAAGAACCAATCACTAGACAAAGGTTTTTTACTGATAAATATATCATTATTTGGCTTCAGTCATTAAAAGAAAAATTGAACAACCTTTTAGTTCATTCCCTTGTCAATCTGGAGAAGACTGGATTTGCAATCAAAGGGTGAGTCAATTTGCAAAGCTTAGGTAACGCGAAAACAAACCAATCGCAAAATTGCTATCGATACTATTACACATTGCAATAGGCCTTTTCAAGTAAGAAGGGTAAAGAAGAAACGAACTTTTCCCCACAGAAAGTTACATGATATGAAATTAGCAATTAGCATGAGTAGTTGATAACGTCTACATTTTTTTATAAGAATATGTTTTTCAAGAATATCTGATCGAGGCTGAAATTTTGGGAATTTTTAGAATACTTAAAAACAAATCCGAGGTTGAGATTTTGAAAAGAACATAATTTTGCGTGTTGAAATTTGTTGATACAATACCAGTATATGTCTTTAACAATAAAGCGTGTAAAATTGTTCCTTTCTCTAAACGGCAAAACTGGCCAATAAAACGATAAAAACCTGCAGTAGCGAAATGTTCAATGCAAGAAAGGTACATGTAATACATATGTATGGTAGATACTAAACACTTGTAGTTTATACCCCAATATATTCTAAATGAAAATGTGTTACCTTATAATCTAAGAATATTAACAGGAATACTTTTAGCCTAAATTCTACACAAAAATAAGAATATTCAGCGTGGACCGGAATGAATGAACGATTGAAGTTTATTTAAGTATCAGAGTATTTAGCTAGATATTAGCTAATTGTGGATACTAGAAGAACATTCCAAATACAAAATAAAAAAAATTAAACTAGGGATGCTACGAGTATTAAAAATCTATTTTGAAATTTGCAATCATTTTGAAGACAGTGAAGGTTTATAATAAAAATCTAAAAATCTGCACTATTCAAAAGTTTTTAAAAATATCACTTAGTTCCAACATTGTTATAAAAAAGAGTGTATTCTAGCAGAGCTGCCATTACACGGAACTACGAAGAACACAAGACAAACATGCAGAACTGCTAAAAGGTGGCCGAAACCGCTTCTACAATGATTTCAGTGAAGATCTTCAAAACCCCACACCAGAGACAATTTAGAGAAACAATGTTTAAAAATCTAAGGAGGGTTTTGTAGTACAGTTGTAATAAGTCGAAAATACGCATGGGGCTTGTATTTTTCAAAGACTCATTTTGAGGGGCTTATATAATGCCGTAACATTAAGAGTTACATGCGATAAACGTTGCTAGCTGGTAACTTTTAAGGTTAATCTTGTAGGTTTGAAGCACTTGGCAATGAAGCTCCGTGTGGATCGTGTATTGCTGTTAGTGCTGTGCCTCCATTTGCTGTCTGCAACAGTCCGCTCCGCGTCCTCAGGGATCTGGACACAGAGGCTAACCAAAGTGTCTTTGTTTGTGGCACCGCCGTCCACTGTTTTTGGAATGAGTTCCCGAGCGATTACAATCGATGCTATCAACCAGATGAAAAGAGGTTGGCGCGTTTTAACTTTTAAGTGAATCGCTATCGAGGACATAAAACCTATTGTGAGTTTTTAAAAAAGCTGAAATTACACTCGCCTTAGCGGCTGGTGCAATTTCAGCTTTTTGAAAAACTCACTGGTGCAAATCAATTCCAAATTGATCTCGAAACCGTATGATTACCTATACTAATAGTCTATAAAAAAAAAAAGAAAGATTGTAATTGAGATAACTCATTAGAGCGGGGATATACGTCAATGGTTAAAAAAAAGGAAGATGGAACATGATCCAAAAACGGCTACTTTGAGTTGTTCTTAAAGTCAAGCGTTTCCAATATCCCCTTGAAGAAAACAGCTTCTTCAGTGGAGAGAATATATGAAAGACATATATTTGCACTGCAGAGAGAACATATTTTGTTTTCGAGTTCATCGCATACAGTTGTGAGCGCTACTCTAGCGGCAGAGAAATGATATCTGAAAAATCTTGTTGGAGACTGAATTTTTCAGGCTTTCATTTCGCTGCTGCTAAGGCAGCGCTCAGAAAGCATAACAGTTTCTTCAATACTTGAAGTCTTTCCTAAGTCACCCGACAATAAAGAAGAATATAGGCGAAGCAATTGTTTTTGATCAGCTTGCGTCTCATTGGTAACGATCAGTCTGTACCCTGCGGGGGAAGGGGGTGGGGCGCATTGTGCAAGATGCGCGCTTTGTGTTTATAACAAATTGAACACAGTTTACTATGATATGTTCTCACACAGGTGAAAAGGAAGCAGCAATGGAAAGCTTACAACAGGCCATTACAACGCTTGCAGTGCTTGATGTAACAGCAGGTGCTGTGGTGCAGAACCCCTGGACAAGTCTGATTGCAAATGACATCAGTACTAAGAAGCAGTTCAAGAACGTAAACAAAGCCATAGCAAACTATCGTAACGCTATAAGCCGAGGAGTGTCATCACCAATAACCAATCAGGATGACCTTATCCGTGAGGTAATGCGAAAAAAATGAGCGCTGGACCAACTCAGTAAATGCAGCTAAGTGAAAGCGTAAATAATTATAAAGGAAGAGGCTGACTTAATCTTAGCTGAGGCATCGACCTAAAGCATACAGCCAAACTGATTGTGGAGCGCTATAAGAAAGCTTAGTAGCTCCTGTTTTGACAATATCCATCTCATTTCTAACGTCAGTCTCACGTTCGCATTTTATTTTTGCACAAAGTGAAAGCTAGAATGAATGTGCCGTCCATTCTAAATTTGCTTTAACTTTCATCTTCTTTTGAATATTATTTTGAAAACAGCCCAAAAGATTCCATAAGGATCTTTATGGAATACCGGAATTATTTCAGTTCCTTTAACCTGTTCCGTAGACCTGTAACATGCATTTGATAATTTCCATGTCACTTGCACGATAGACAGATCCGAAGATTTCGAGACAATTGTCATGAACGTTATTGTTTGACAAATGGATCCAGCTTACCCTTTGGTCGTGTTTAAAGAATAGTTAGAGCGTAGTTTTCTATTTCTCTTCAAAAACTTTCATGTGACTTTAGATCTGCGCATGCTTCCACAAGATGGTGAAACAGGCAAAACAGCCAATCAAAGCTGATCAAGCTGATACACTTTACTGGTCAAAAGCCTTAAGCGAGATACTTGGCAACCAATCAGAGCTTTTATGGTCGGTACATCATGGAAAATGGCACCTTTTAAATGCCTTGTTTATGGCGCTACATTCTCTTGTTATAAATTAATAATAATAATAATAATAATAATGATGATGATAATGATGATGATGATCATAACAACAATGATATCGATTATGAAAATAACAATAATAATAATAACTAGTAATAGTTGACACTACAGCTGCCCCCGCTCTGTACATATTCGGTCAATAGTATTCTTGCTCCTTGTGTAGCTCTTTGAAATATACCGATTCATAATGAAGATTTTCACACATATTCCATACAATAGGTGAGATAAATACAGGAAATAAACGCAAAGTTCCATGCGCAGTTTCAGTTTGATTTACACAGCCTTGATCATGAAACATTCCCAGTTTCGAGAATAGTTTATTCTAAACCATAGGAAGTATTTAATTAGAAGTTTACTTTTTCGCTATTTCTATTTCACTTTTTACGTTTCGTTCATTTTATTTGCCGGAAAGTAAGCCTTAGAAATTAAAAGGACGTCTAGTCTTATTTCAAACTTTATAGCGGAAGGACACCTGTGAGCAGGGAAAAAGTCAGCACAGAATTTGATGGTCGGCGAATTTCTGTAATCGTCCATCGTTCTGCTGGTGATAAGCTAGCCGTTGAATCATTCACTCTTCTTGCTTGTTTGGGGCCCAGTCTTATTCCGGTTAAAGAAAGAAAAAAGAGTGCCTGGCAAGGTTTCCACTCAAAGATTTGTGAACTCGTGTCTGGCAAACTCACTTAGTGTTAAAATATACACTGTTATACGCACCTTATAACTTCATCTGCGCTTAACGAGTGTCTTTTGGTCCATAACTTTCATAACAACTGCTCCACAGAATGTCATTGATAACACGTAACCCAAAAGAGTATCGAAGTATAAATGCACAATTAATGTCACAAAATCTACCTATTGTAAGCGGTCCCTTCGGGATTTTTTGTGTTTTACGTCATCCTAACCATTTCTTACTTGCGGGCGCAAACAATAGAAACGTCATCATTACCTACCGATTCCTCGCGGGCCCTGTTTAAGCAAATCGAGATTTTTTCTATATTGACTGTATGACTGTATATTTCAACTGTAAGTACTGTCCTTAATATACGCGCGAGTTACTAGAGTGCCTCCTCGGGATTTCGCCTTCTGGGCGAAATCCCTGCGGGGGCAATACTAATAATAATAATAATAATAATAATAATTAAATCGATCAGCGGATCTAAAAATAGGAAACGCTGGTATAAACCAATGATCATCAATTTAAATGTTTAAAAAGTATTGAGAGGGTTTTCTCAACTGCTAATTAATAGACATAAGATAAATTAAATTCGAAAAAAAATATGCAACACATTTTTGTTATCTCCTATATCTAAGTGTCTTAAGCATCGAAACAAATGCAAGGTTCCTTGGCGAGGTCCAGTCTTTACCAGCGGCTTTGGCTGTTTAGCTCGCGGAAAATAGAGTTCACTGATATCACTTAGGTCCTTGCCTCGGAGTCCAGATCCCAAAACAAATATCCTTGCAGATGCCTAGGACAATTTAAATTGCTTATGATCTTAAAAACTACTTGTAAACTAACATAGCGTCGCCTATCAAAATAAGGATAACAGTCCGAGCTTTTCTCGCATTACCTGAAGTCGCATGGAGTTGTTAGTTCTTGAGATTATTCTCATAGCCTTATTTCCAGATATGCTATAAAGTAATGTTAATTAATCCACACATAAAAAAACTGCGAAAGGATAAATTTAGTTTTATTTCGAAGATTGAAGCATTGAAGGACACTGCTATCGACGAATTCAAATCCGTGGTATCTTCTCTTCCCGAGTCAGACGACACCTTGAAGTATCTTAACAAAGCAGCAAAGTGGAGTAAAGTTGGGACAGCACTTGACGTATTCGGAGCTTTTTTTGATGCTATTGCAATTGGTGTTAATGCCTGGGCTTTTGACTCGGCTCGCAAGGATGGCAATGATGCTGGAATGGCATCGTCTGGTCTTAGTATGGCCGCAGGTAAGTTCGACAGCCAAACTACATTCCAATTCCGTGAATCTGATTGGCTCTTTTATTGGTTGCTATATAACAATGATACCACGAGGCCAAGTTTTCTATGAGTGAGTAATCATCGAGGCGGGGCCGAGGAAACAAGGACAAGTGGTCTAATTTTTTTAGTAGACATCTAGTAAATTGTGCTTTGGTCTTCAACATGAAAGTCAATGCTGACGTCGGCATTTTTCGGGTAAACCTTAAATGGTCTCTTGTTCTTAAAGTTTCCTGCAATTTGCCTTTAAATACAAAATATCAAGATCGTTCAAAATGCGGAACATGGTAACGCGTGAACTAATGTACTCTACCAGCTATCAAGTCAACAGGGAGCTGGTCACCATGCTAAATATGCCTGTTACTTACATTTTATGCGATTAAACGTAGGGGTCACTACGAGTTGCTAGAATTTATTTTATTTTTTCTCCAATATATCTCGTGTTGTTTTGTATTATGAAAAAAAAAAAACACATTTCAGTCTCCTTTTATAAAGTTGAGCTGCAGGTTGGCTAAATTTTGCTGGGAAAAGACGAAGTCGTGCGACCTTCCCTAGATGCACAGGACGCGTGCGCTCGTTTTCAAAGCTCAAAGATGCGATTATACTTCAGGAATAAGTCTATTTTCTCATTAACTAAACACAAGGTCATCAGTATTGGGGAATACTGTACCGTGGTCACGAGAGTATGGACCAAGTAGAGTGTTTTAAAGTACGTGCGTTTGGTTTTTGTCTTGGGCCAACAGAGAAGTTCGGGAACGCAAAACCAAGGCAATTGCTAAATTACTTTCGACACGCTACTGAAAGCCGCTCTTTGCTTACAATATTTCTTTGCAATAAATGTACAGTAACCATCAATGCTCATGTTCTGTTTATGCTGACAGGTATTGTTGGAATAAGTACATTCATATACTCCGTAGCAACTGGATCCACAATCGCAGGTCCTCTCGGCGCCATAGTTGGCGCTCTCCTTGGTCTTGTCGCCACCTTGATTGATGTCTTCAGCAGCAATCCCTCGTCCAATATTGACGCAACCATAAAAAATCTGCGGACTTTGACGCAGTATTCCAAAGACGAGTTGGACGATACCAGGAACTTTTTGCTTCCTCTTGGAAAGTTCGGCACAATATACGAGAGCAACGCAGCCAACATAATCGAGGTTTTAGGCATGCCACCCGCTCCACTCTCTTTCAAACCCCTAACCGGAGGTGCGACGTCTGGGGAATACCTTGGCGCTGGTAAATTTCGCATGGTCGACTTGTCAAAGTTTTCAAATGCCTACTGGACCGTTAGTGGTACTGAACCCATCGGATACGACTTTTACGGAAAAAGAGATGATAAAAAGTCGCAAGGTGTAACCGTCTTTGTCGATACCAAACTTGTAAAGACGTCTGGAAGACCACTCAAGGGTGCTGTGATCCAGACATATTCAGACGGGTACGAAAATTATTATATTCATGATCACGTGACCATCGAAGACTTCGGAAACCTGAAACCTGGTCAGACCATTAAAGTCAAAACGGGTTACGGTAATGACGTCATTGCTATTAATGGTCCTGTGGGCAAATTCACTTCCGACTTTAGTAATGTGCTCGATGTCACCACTGGTACAGCTAAAAATGAACTGACTTTCGGAGGGATACCAAGGGCGCACGCGCATATCAAGGGAGTGTACTTTAATCGTATTAACGAACGTGTAGGGTTTTTTCATGGCTCAAACCGCCAAAAGCACGAGTTTGGGACCATCAAGGGCATAGTTCTGGTGCGTGGAAGCCCTTTTAACGATCACATTGTCCTGCATGGCAATGATTTCAGGGTAGAACAATCTCAAGGACAGAATGTCTACGAAATTGACCTCATCCATGCAAGTACAGATTCCGGGGGAATTACGCAGACCATAGTTGATGACAGTGGAAAGGTTCCCAGGATCCGTGTGACGTCATCGGGGGATATTGGAGAAGAAAACTTCGATTACAACCACCCGGTAACGAATTTCATTTCTGTAAACCCTCCTCATTTCTTTGTGTAATATTCATTTTTCTTGCCGTTACTAAAAGTAATCGCAGCCGAGAATGTAAAATTAAAGAATTTTATTCATCGCTTTAACAAATCCTTATTGCTATAGTAAATACCAACAAACAAACCAAAGCACATGACAAAAAGTAAAATGCGTAAAAGTATCGTTCTTCATGTTCGTCATGGCTAACATATTTCACATAAAGCAATCTTTAGCTTTCAATGACGAAAGATAAAATTAGAAACGTTTTGAAGAACTTTCAGTTATGCGCAATAAGGCTGTACTTATTCGGATAGCTCTGGTTTGATTGCCAGGTTGGAGGGTCGGAACTACGGGAAGACTGAGATCCAACTCTTCGCGCAAGTATTCTTCAGCGGCCCCGGTACCCACTTGTGCGATAAACATAAGCAGAGGCTTATGCAAATGAGTAATCGTTATAGGGAGAACAGACACAAGCGTAAAAAATGAAATCCTTTTCCTTTTCCCTTGCTTGTGCTTATCTTACGCTTGTGAATTTCACTAGTGGGAAACGGCGTGAGATGAGCATGCGCACAAACACAGGCTGCTCATCCGCCATCCTGAAACAGTCTTCCCAGATGTGCTTCTACGCTACTTGGGTAACCTATGAAAACCATAATTGGTGCGATATCAGGCATCCCAGCTTGGTTGTGCTCTGTCTCTATCCTCAAAGTTTCTGGAATTTGACCGTTTTCAAATTACATCACCTGCTTTTAAAGGGGCTCAGCCCTAATGACTGCAATTTTGGTGTTTTTTGTCAAGATTATGCTAAACATGTTACAAGAAGAAGATTTAAAACTGAACTTCGCCTCATGGGCTATTGTGCTACGGGTCTAATTGTTAAGTATTTCTCTCTTTGGTATCGATAGGAGCTCAAGATCTCCCTAAGAAACGAGGACGGCTCCTGGTCCTTACTTCGCACACTGAAGCTCAGTTACAAGGTAGAACCATTGGTGGAACTGTACGTTAACGGCAAAATAACAAAAAACCTGTACGTTGGCTGGATGAAGAAAGTCCAAGTTACCGGTGAACAGTATAACTACCAATTCCTTTCCGACCTAACAGGAACAGACAGGAATGATCTCGTCAAAATTATACGACCAGGTTCTGGGCCGAAAAGCAGCCACACCGTGGATCTGAAGGAAGGAGACGATGTTTTGGTACTTACAGAAAATCTCATGGATGTGTACAGTATCAAATCAGGTATTCTCCATTATCACGGTAATTTTAGAGTTTGATGTAGTACAAACAAAGAAACTCCATTAACCTTTATGCAAAAACACCTGGAAGATAGTAAAATGAGCATGTTTAAGAGATTTGTCTTTTAAGACAGCGACAGAATTTAACTGACGTTTGAACTGGAGAAAGGAAATGTTTGTCCGCCTTCAAACGTCTGTAAAAAAGTTTTACATTTACGGGACTATATCTCCAGTATTTAAAAAAAAAATTCTTAAACTTGGCTCTTTTAACTAATTTTAAGGTGCTTTTATCAGCATTGTCAAAGAATCTTCGTCACCTGACCTACAAGAAAATCTACTGAAAAGTGTCTGAATATTCCTATTGCCTATTCCTTTCGCCGAGTACTCTGTGGCTCATTTACGGCTGTGATTCTATGGGAAACGAATTTTCACTAACTTTCTTCTAAACTTTACAAAGTTATTTCTTGCAAGTGAAGGAAAGTGGAACAAAAAGGGGGAGTAGCGGTGTCCGTATTCACGTTACAGGACTTTGGTTCATAGCCACTTTACTACCCAATGACAGCACTATTGAAAGACTTCGCCTTGAGAGAGAGGCACCCATTACCTCCAAACGTTATCTCTGGCAATACAATATAATGTGCCATACTTGGGGCGGGTACTTCATATAATGGCCTATACGGAAAGAAAAGGGGGCCTTTTAATCTTTGTAGCATTTGAAGGGATAGGGAAGTTCAAAATTTCAATATTCAACATTTCAGAATCTGAAATATCAAAAAATAGGGACTGAATCGAACGTTGAATAATTAAATCCAAGTAATACGACAAGATTGTAAAAACTGAGTAGAAAATCTTGGGCGAAATTAGAGTTTGAATGGTCTTTCTATAGTAACAAGGAGTGAGGGAGACATTTGTTTTGCTTTATGTCATCTTTCAGATATAGCAAAAGGGTACAGTTGTTTGTGTCACCATTTTAGGAACAGTTGTTATGTGAAAGGTTAGGGTTTAAATGTCCGTCAGTGCCAGAAAATTTTGTCGCCCACGCCATGCCAACAACAGGTAAAATTCGTTTAGCTGGGCCAGCATGGTTGACGACAGCATGAGTTTCTAAAACATCAGTTTGCGTTGTTTAGGCCACAACACGCTGCATTTGGTGTTTAATGGTGTGGATTACGTGCTTCAGATCAGAAGCGTTGACTCCAGCTACATTCGCCATGACGTCATACTCCGTGATGTGGAGTTTATTATGAATGAAGACCTCGCTACTCTGGTCGACATGAAAGCAGCGGAGAGCAACAACCTTGATTTGGGGAAAATTTACAAAGATGCTCAAGATTTGAGTCGCAAGTGAAATTGATCGTTTGTCGACAAGCGGATAATGCATTGATTTTTCTTTTGTCAG